GGTAACAAGGAAATAACAATCAAATATCGATATAATAATAATAAAGCTGAGTTTTAGCTGTGTTTTTTTGACACTTAGAACACTTTGGTTTTGAGAAAAATCACGATTTTCTTTGGTAAAGTGTTCTATCTCCAATCATTTTTGTGAATTTCTTATTTATTTCAATAGATTGAGCATATAATTTGATATCTTCTGATCCTGTTTAACATGTCACATGCATGTGCAAAATTTGAAAAGAATTCGATTGAAAAGTGAAGAAAATATTGTTGTCCTAAACTTCAAGAATAAATTTCTCGAAAATAGGTTTTGTGACTTAGTACACTCTGGTTTTCAGGCGACGAAGTACAAACCAATGTTTAACCATTGCAAGCTGGGACCTTGTCGCTCTAGAATGTTGTCCCTATTATGACGTCACAATATATATGTAATGACGTCATACTGTAACCGCTACAATCTCCCTGAAGAGTAAAGAACAGAAACATGTTGGAGAAAAAAGGCATTCTGGTTTTATTTATCTATGCAATATATATATATATATATATATATATATATATATATATATATATATATATGGTGGGTATGTGTATGCATGTGTGTGCATGTATATATATATATATATACATACATACATACATATGTGCGCGCGTACAAATACATATATATATACATATATATATATACACATGCATACATACACAGACGAACATATACACACATGCATAAACATACCCACCACACACACACATATATATATATGTATATCTACATACATACATACATACATATGTGCGCGCGCGTACACATACATATATATATATATATATAAGGGCAAATCCGACCTTTGGGCGACAGTACTATAAGCTGCGACCTTTGGGCGACATTGCCATATATTACAAACGTACATTGATTTTTAAATTTCTTCGGTTATATACACTTTAATTTGATAATTAAACATTAAAAGGGATAAAACCTTGTACATATATACAAATAGAGAATATATTTTGATGTCGCCCATACCGTGTCGCCCAAAGGTAAAGTGTACGGCGTACATAGAGAATACTACACGAGGTCTCATTACATACGAATTATACGAAACGAGTGTCCTTCCTATGGTATCTGACCGAGGCGAAAGCGAGGTCAGATAACATAGGAAGGTCACGAAGTTCGTATAATCGTATGTAATGAGACCGAGTGTGGTATATCTATTTATTACCCACGTCTTACATGCATTAAATTGACAAAATAACGTAGTTTTGTTAATATTTTGGTTTCAAACCGAAACCGGTTTCATAAAGAGGTTGCGGAAGAGTTTTGTACTGTAGTACAATATTTGCATGACGTCACTGTAATGACGTCACTGCCTTGGTAACCGACGTCACGATGCATGTCAGTTGTCTTCGCCTCGTACAGCCTCCTACAGTAAACTACTCCGTTGCACCCCGTTTCTTGGTTTGCAGTTGCTTCATTCGGCTAACATCACTGGTGGAAACATTGCGTTTCCGTTTTCGACGGGTATAATGTCTCAGTTCGACTCACAATAAAACAGCGACACGGCAACGTTCGCGATGTTTATTCCACAATGCATTTAGTTGTAGAATGAATGGATCCACGTGTTTGTTATGAATGAAAAAGTAGTTCCGTCACAACCTGACCTAACTGAGAGGTCATCGGTTATCCAATCAAATCGTTAGAATCTCAGGTCAAGTCGTTTACGACACAGGTCAACGCGATACGACACACGTGTGACGTACGAGATTAGTATGCAACTCCCATACGTTGACCACGTGGGTAATAAATGTATATATGCAACCTTTAGGCGACTGTCGCCCAAAGGTCGTATATATATGTCGCCCAATGGTCGCTTATGTAATATACATATATATATGTCGCCCAACGGTTGCTGTTTAATACTATATACATGTATACATTTCCATGGCTGCTTATTTGATATATATGTCGCCCTTTGGTTGTTTCTGTGTTTCAATGTCTTGCGCGCCGAGGAAATTATATTTCATATCTGTGTGCATGAAACTGACTTTCTTGTTTCCGATCTTTAACATCGCACGTACAATCAATTCATAGTTTTGTGCTTAATTATCTCAAATATGATGCTGTCAAACAAATCAGGCTAGTTAGAATTAATACTGAGATTATGATTACTTGTAATATTTCTAAAAATATTATGCTGTAACAGACATTTATAATTTGGCATAACATGCATTTATTGTTTCCCACTCAAGCGCCGATGTGCCCTTGCTTCATATTAATTAGTGTCCGTTGTTTACCATTCGAGGTTTGCAAAGGATTAAGTTTTAAGGATATGTTAAGATTAACCAACAACTAAATATCAAATATTCCCATACTCAAACACTGAAAACCTCTATAGGAAATAGAGTAAAATTGAGTAAAATTAATAAACCGGATTGCACAGTCCAGATATGAAAACGTCTTTTTAACGAGATAAAGTAACAACATCATTAACGTTCGTCATCAAATATGGATTTGTTGAAACTAATTCTAATGACTGATCACAATGAAGAGATGAGCGAAAGTTGATGAAGTCTGAATACCATCTAACCACAGCCCATTTTGAGCCAATCGGGACTATTCTCGTTCTCTTATCATACACTGAGGCATACCAGACGACTCCTGAATAAACTGGGGGCTCCGACACTGTGATTTTCCAAATGTCTGGTCTGAAAACCATTTAAACACAGCCTATTTTGAGCCAGTCGGGATTATTCCCGTATTCTTATCATACACTGAGGCATACCAGATGACTCCTGAATAAACTGCATGGGGGCTCCGACACTGATATTTGCCAAATGTCTGGTCTGAATACCATTTAAACACAGCCTATTTTGAGCCAGTCGGGACTATTCCCGTATTCTTATCATACACTGAGGCATACCAGACGACTCCTGAATAAACGAGGGCTCCGACACGGATATTTGCCTGTTGTCTGGTCTGAATACCATCTAAATACAGCCCATTTTGAGCCAGTCGGGGTTATTCCCGTATTCTTATCATACACTGAGGCATACCAGACGACTCCTGAATAAACTGGGGCTCCGACACTGATATTTGCCAAATGTCTGGTTTGAATACCATTTAAACACAGCCTATTTTCAGCTAGTCGGGACTATTCCCGTATTCTTATCATACACTGAGGCATACCAGACGACTCCTGAATAAACGAGGGCTCCGACACGGATATTTGCCTGTTGTCTGGTCTGAATACCATCTAAATACAGCCCATTTTGAGCCAGTCGGGGTTATTCCCGTATTCTTATCATACACTGAGGCATACCAGACGACTCCTGAATAAACTGGGGGCTCCGACACTGATATTTGCCAAATGTCTGGTTTGAATACCATTTAAACACAGCCTATTTTCAGCTAGTCGGGACTATTCCCGTATTCTTATCATACACTGAGGCATACCAGACGACTCCTGAATAAACGAGGGCCCTGACACTGATATTTGCCTGTTGTCTGGTCTGAATACCATCTAAACACAGCCCATTTTGAGCCAGTCGGGATTATTCCCGTATTCTTATCATACACTGAGGCATACCAGACGACTCCTGAATAAACTAGGGTTCCGACACGGATATTTGCCTAATTTCAGGTCTAAATACCATTTAAACACAGCTCATTTTGAGCCAGTCGGGGAGTATTCTCGTTCTCCTATCATACACTGAGGCATACCAGACGACTCCTGAATAAACTAGAGCTCCGACACTGATATTTGCCTGACGTCTGGTCTGGTCTGAATACCATTTAAACGCAGCCCATTTTGAGCCTTTCAGGACTATTCCAGTATTCTTATCATACACTGAGGCATACCAGACGACACCTGAATAAACTGGGGCTCCGACACGGATATTTGCCTGATGTCTGGTCTGGTCTGAATTCCATCTAAATACAGCCCATTTTGAGCCAGTCGGGAGTATTCCGGTTCTCCTATCATACACTGAGGCATACCAGACGACTCCTGAATAAACTAGGGCTCCGACACTGATATTTGCCTGATGTCTGGTCTGAATACCATTTAAACGCAGCCCATTTTGAGCCTTTCAGGACTATTCCAGTATTCTTATCATACACTGAGGCATACCAGACGACACCTGAATAAACTGGGGCTCCGACACGGATATTTGCCTGATGTCTGGTCTGAATACCATCTAAATACAGCCCATTTTGAGCCAGTCGGGAGTATTCCGGTTCTCCTATCATACACTGAGGCATACCAGACGACTCCTGAATAAACTAGGGCTCCGACACTGATATTTGCCTGATGTCTGGTCTGAATACCATTTAAACGCAGCCCATTTTGAGTCATTCAGGACTATTCCAGTATTCTTATCATACACTGAGGCATACCAGACGACTCCTGAATAAACTGGGGCTCCGACACGGATATTTGCCTGATGTCTGGTCTGAATACCATCTAAATACAGCCCATTTTGAGCCAGTCGGGAGTATTCCGGTTCTCCTATCATACACTTAGGCATACCAGACGACTCCTGAATAAACTGGGGCTCCGACACGGATATTTGCCAAATGTCTGGTCTAAATACCACCTAACCAAAGCCCATTGTGAGCCAGTCGGGACTATTCCCGTATTCTTATCATACACTGAGGCATACCAGACGACTCCTGAATAAACTTGGGCTCCGACACTGATATTTGCCTGATATTTGGTCTGAATACCATTTAAACGCAGCCCATTTTGAGCCATTCAGGACTATTCCAGTATTCTTATCATACACTGAGGCATACCAGACGACTCCTGAATAAACTGGGGCTCCGACACCGATATTTGCCTGATGTCTGGTCTGAATACCATCTAAACACAGCCCATCACCGCACTGGATCCACAAGTGCTACCACCCCATACCCCTATTTTTTCCAAATCAGCTTCGGAGACTCCACCATGGAAAATGGAGCCACATTCCACCCCAGTGCGAACCAATGATAGGAACAAGAAAAAATTGTAAGTTTAATAATTACTATTTATTAAACCAAATAGTTTTGACATTCTTATTTGCATAACTTTGCAAAAAATTGTAATTGTGGCATTTACACTTCTCTGATCGAGACCTTGACTAACATTTGTCAGGTTAAATTGCTAACAATGTTGTTCTGTGATAAGGTGTTTCACCTTTAGAGGGTTGGTTCAAATCACACAAGGGATTCACTCCACCCTCTACCAGCAAAGTACTAGTATCTGTACTATACTGGAAAAGTGAATTCCCAAATGTAACATCCCTTAGAAATGATCTGAATATTTATTAAGTTAATTTCATTCTTAAAATGTGTGCCATCTCTTCCTTGTCCTTTGCTGCTGTATTTTCTGCTTGTTCATCATTTTTTTCTCAGCTGAACATAAGAGCATTCGTGCTTGGAAATCTGTAGAAATGACTGAATGGTCTCCGTTTCTGAAATATAACAAAGTTTTCAAAATTATGCTAAAACATCAAGGTACAGTGAGTATCATCACTCAGCTTCTAGTCCTATAGTCTTTACCCAACTCCCCAACTTAAGGTTTTATTAGGACAAGTAAACATTTGCCATTTTAAGATTTAGCTAATTTGTTATCATTATGAGGACTTGTGGCCTAAATATACAATTCACGCTTTGCTATGAATTAAATCATTGATTCAACAGAAAACTATAATGTGGGATCAAATTTGGTTTAAATATCTAAGCTTATTGTAAGCATGGATCCTAGGTTTCAGTATGTCATTTCATCTTGTGGATCCCATACCTGCTATTGACAGGTGTTGTTTGTTTGTAAATGACTCGTTCCATGATTTGCAAAATGGTTGATTGGTGCCATTAAAACCATTTTTATGGTTAACCATGTATCAAGTGCATAAGGTTAGACTAAAGTAGCTGTTTGCCTAAAGAAGGGTTACTATAGTATTATTTATCCAGTTTTAAATGTATACAATTTCAAATTATAAATCTATGTGTAAGTATAGTTGGGAATTTTATGTGATCCTTAGCAAAGTGTGAGTAGTATATGTTAGTTTCTAATCAATGCAATATACAATATAACAATCTATAGTCATTAAATTAAGTTTGCTATAACGTAGAATAGAAATAGTTCTATAAAGATGAAGCCTTGAGTATTCAGGAAACTTTAATCTGGTAACATGGCTGAAAATTGAATGGGAGTGACTGCCACTGTCTATGAGTGAAATGAGGGTCAGCACTAGTAGTGAGTGAGTTTAGTTTTTAGCTATGACAAGCTTAACGCTTAAACCACTAGGCTACCCTCCGCCCATCAACCCTAGTAGTAGTAAGCTTCATTAAGCAGATACAGACTGAATACCACAGAGAAAGGGAAAGGTGGGAGGATGTCCAGATAGATACTGGTTAACTTTATTGCTTAGTGTTTATCAAACAAGTGAAATAATGACGAAACAAAACATTGACGATATTAATATGCAGCAACATACACATGTTTTGGTATATACACAGAGAAATTATTACGGCAATGATAAAATAATCAAAGCAACAAGAAAGTAATTGAACAAAAGAGACATTTTAATTAAAACAACATTTTGATTGACAAAAATGGCAGCATTAGTTTTTTGTATAACAAAGGTCCGAACTGAAAATATGTAAAAAAAAGGAACGTATCTGATTCGCTTAACTTCTAAACCAAACTTCATAAAATTCTGCATACAATTGGCTGAGAGATTTTTCTCCAAATCTCCTACATGTCATGCACGATGCAATTGGAACCAGTTGATGACATATGTCAGCAGTATGTCAGCCAAGTTCTAGCACTGCTAAAGGCTAAGGGTTAGTTATCTAGTTGGAAAAAAAGACATGGTATGTTTTCAGATTTAAGAGTTTTGTTGTGTATTTGATAAACAGAAATTACATTTAGAGCACATAAGTTCAGCTTGAGGTTTGAAATGTAAACAATTTTGGCATTGACTACTCAATGAAACCCACAAATCTAGAAAACATACAGTATGTACTGACACTGTAGAATACAAACATGATCTGTCATTTCTGTAATTTTTATCTATCTAGGTGACACATATCATTTGAAGTGTTGAATCATAACTGACATCAGTCAATACAGACTGCAAGGAAGAAATCTTAACCCTTTAGTATGTATGATTTAATACTACAGCTGAGTGCACAGTGTGACAACCAAACCCAACTTACCCATATGATATACCTAGATTACAAACTGATCAGTGAAACAGCCTCTTTAGGGATACACAGTTTGATTACATTCGACTGTAGTCAAGTGAACTACAGAGAGTTTGGTATATACACTACATATGATGTGTAACCCAATGGTGTACTGATAATACATATGATGTGTTGCCCACAGGTCTACTGATTGTATGATGTGTTGCCCTAAGGTCTACTGGTAACATAAATGATGTGTTGACCACAAGTCTACTGGTGATATATAAGATGCGTTGCCCTTAGGTCTACTAGGGACATATAAGATGTGTTGACCACAGGTCTACTGACTGTAAGATGTGTTGCCCTTAGGTCTACTGGTGATATATTTCATGTGTTGCCCACAGGTCTACTGGGGACATATAAGATGCGTTGCCCACAGGTCTACTGGGGACATATAACATGTGTTGACCACAGGTCTACTGATTGTATGATGTTTTGCCCTAAGGTCTACTGGTGATATATATCATGTGTTGCCTAAGGTCTACTGGTAATATATATATGATGTGTTGCCCTAGGGTCTATGGGTGATATATAAGATGTGTTGCCCTAAGGTCTACTGGTGATATATAGGATGTGTTGCCATAAGGTCTACTGGTGATACATAAGATGTGTTGCCCTAAGGTCTACTGGTGATATATATGATGTGTTGCCCTAAGGTCTACTGGCAATATAAGATGTGTGTTGACCACAGGTCTAATGATTGTATGATGTGTTGCCCTAAGGTCTACTGGTGATATATATGATGTGTTCACCACAGGTCTACTGGTGATATATATGATGTGTTGCCCTAAGGTCTACTGGTGATATATATGATGCGTTGCCCTAAGGTCTACTGGTGATATATATGATGTGTTGCCCTAAGGTCTCCTGGTGATATATAAGATGTGTTGCCCTAAGGTCTACTGGTGATAAATAAGATGCGTTGCCCTAAGGTCTACTGGTGATATATAAGATGTGTTGCCCTAAGGTCTACTGGTGATATATAAGATGCGTTGCCCTAAGTCCTACTGGTGATATATAAGATGTGTTGCCCTAAGGTCTAATGGTGATATATAAGATGCGTTGCCCTTAGGTCTACTGGGGACATATAAGATGTGTTGACCACAGGTCTACTGATTGTATGATGTCTTGCCCTAATGTCTACTGGTGATATATATCATGTGTTGCCTAAGGTCTGCTGGTAATATATATTATGTGTTGCCCTCAGGTCTATGGGTGATATATAAGATACATTGCCCTAAGGTCTACTGGTGATATATAAGATGTTTTGCCCTAAGGTCTACTGGTGATATATAAGATGTGTTGCCCACAGGTCTACTGGGGATATATAACATGTGTTGACCACAGTTCTACTGATTGTATGATGTCTTGCCCTAAGGTCTACTGGTGATATATATCATGTGTTGCCTAAGGTCTACTGGGGACATATAACATGTATTGACCACAGGTAAACTGATTGTATGATGTGTTGCCCTAAGGTCTACTGGCAATATAAGATGTGTTGACCACAGGTCTAATGATTGTATGATGTGTTGCCCTAAGGTCTACTGGTGATATATATGATGTGTTCACCACAGGTCTACTGGTGATATATATGATGTGTTGCCCTAAGGTCTACTGGTGATATATATGATGTGTTGCCCTAAGGTCTACTGGTGATATATATGATGTGTTGCCCTAAGGTCTCCTGGTGATATATAAGATGTGTTGCCCTAAGGTCTACTGGTGATAAATAAGATGCGTTGCCCTAAGGTCTACTGGTGATATATAAGATGTGTTGCCCTAAGGTCTACTGGTGATATATAAGATGCGTTGCCCTAAGTCCTACTGGTGATATATAAGATGTGTTGCCCTAAGGTCTACTGGTGATATATAAGATGCGTTGCCCTTAGGTCTACTGGGGACATATAAGATGTGTTGACCACAGGTCTACTGATTGTATGATGTCTTGCCCTAATGTCTACTGGTGATATATATCATGTGTTGCCTAAGGTCTGCTGGTAATATATATTATGTGTTGCCCTCAGGTCTATGGGTGATATATAAGATACATTGCCCTAAGGTCTACTGGTGATATATAAGATGTTTTGCCCTAAGGTCTACTGGTGATATATAAGATGTGTTGCCCACAGGTCTACTGGGGATATATAACATGTGTTGACCACAGTTCTACTGATTGTATGATGTCTTGCCCTAAGGTCTACTGGTGATATATATCATGTGTTGCCTAAGGTCTACTGGGGACATATAACATGTATTGACCACAGGTAAACTGATTGTATGATGTGTTGCCCTAAGGTCTACTGGTGATATATAAGATGTGTTGTCTTAAGGTCTACTGGTGATATATAAGATGTGTTGCCCTAAGGTCTACTGGTGATATATAAGATGTGTTGCCCTAAGGTCTACTGGTGATATATAAGATGTGTTGCCCTAAGGTCTCCTGGTAATATATATGATGTGTTGCCCTAAGGTCTACTGGTGGTATATAAGATGTGTTGCCATAAGGTCTACTGGTGATATATAAGATGTGTTGCTCTAAGGTCTACTGGTGATATATATGATGTGTTGCCCTAAGGTCTACTGGTGATATATAAGATGTGTTGGCCAAAGGTCTACTGATTGTATGATGTGTTGCCCAAAGGTCTACTGGTGATATATATGATGTATTGCCCTAAGGTCTACTGGTGATATATGTGTTGCCAACGGGTCTACTGGTAATATATATGATGTGTTGCCCTAAGGTCTACTGGTAATACATAAGATGTGTTGCCCAAAGGTCTAATGGTGATATATAAGATGTGTTGCCCTAAGGTCTACTGGTGATATATAAGATGTGTTGCCCTAAGGTCTACTGGTAATATATATGATGTGTTGCCCTAAGGTCTACTGGTGGTATATAAGATGTGTTGCCATAAGGTCTACTGGTGATATATAAGATGTGTTGCTCTAAGGTCTACTGGTGATATATATGATGTGTTGCCCTAAGGTCTACTGGTGATATATAAGATGTGTTGCCCAAAGGTCTACTGGTGATATATATGATGTGTTGCCCAAAGGTCTACTGGTGATATATATGATGTGTTGCCCTAAGGTCTACTGGTGATATATAAGATGTGTTGCCCTAAGGTCTACTGGTGATACATAAGATGTGTTGCCCTAAGGTCTACTGGTGATATATAAGATGTGTTGCCTAAAGGTCTACTGGTGATATATAAGA